CGAAAAGCCGGAACCGGCCCAAGTCGCGGCCAAAATGTTTGCTGGCTTCACCCGCAGATTCTGTGATGATGATGTTCTTCGGGCTACCCTGCGGCAACTCGCAGGAAAGTACGGCTCCAATCTGCTGGATCGCCTCAGCCAACCTGCTCATCGAGCAGACGTATTCCGATACGTCTACCACTACCAGCACGGCGGCCTATACGTCGACATCAAATGTGGCTTCGTGGTACCTTGGGAACAGGTACTTGTGTATCTCGCAGCAGATTGGAGCACAGCTCACTCAAAGAAGGCAGGTGAAGTGGGTCACAGACCCTCCCCACCTGGCCAACTCCCACAGGAGTTCATGGTCATGGCCATAGGAGTCAAAGGAGATCATATTTTTCAAGGCATCATCTATGGCAAGCCCAGACATCCCTTGATGAGGGAAGCCATACAGCACGCCTTCAGCCGTCAGGTTATGACAGCGAAGGCAAACTTGGAATACATGACCTTCTGCAAATATCTTTGGCAGATCTTGGGTCGCGACCTTGGTCACTCCCCTCAGCCGGGATGGAATGTTTCCACCAAATTCGGCCCCATCTACCTGTTCTCGGAGCGCTGGGACAAGCGAGTGAAGAACAAGAAGTACGACAATGATGGCCACTACTTCGTGACTACCAACAACACGACCGTTGCATATACCCGTTGCTGGAAGTGGCTGAAGGGATTTCAGGGAGACCCAACCACCAAGGAACGCACAGACCGCATGCTGCAGAGCCAACTCCCTGACATCTCCCTTGAAATCCAGTCTGACAGACCTGAAGAGCACAGCTCACCACAGCCACCTAGGTCACAGACCATGGCAACCGCCTCATCGGCTCCCCCTCCTCCCACTCAGGAGGATATTGAAGCCTATGTGGCCGACAGCATTCAGTACAACTCCTTTGCAGAGATCATGGCTACGGTCCGTGCAACCCACCACTACAATCAAGACCTTACAGAGCAGGATGTGCTGGAGCTTATCCCTCGAGGATTAGGGCAAGTGAAAGTCTCGGGGGACATGTGGCTATGCTGCTTGCACTGCCGCAAGCACAACAGGCAGGTGCAATTCAGCACTAGCCACGGCCTTAAGAACCACTTTGTCACTCAGAAGCACAACCCAGCACTCAGTGCCACGCCAGCCCCCCACTCTCCCCCCCCTCCTCCTCCCCCCAAGCTCCCCCAGGAAATTCCTCTCCCCCCCAGCAGTACCAGGACCAAAGGTGTAGACAAAGCAGCCGGCTTTGAGCCGCCACCCTCCCCCCCTTGCCCTTTCACCTCCTCAGCAGCTGAAAAGGCAGCCTTCAAAGCAGGCCAAGCAGAAACACCAAAGGCGGCCCCAGCGCTTCCGGTTAAGGCCCCACCGCCCTTGGTGGCCACCCAATGCCCCCCGCCCTCTTCTTCATCGGCGGCACCAGCCCCCCCTCCTGCGATTCCGGTCCCCCCGATCCTTCCGCACCCCCCCAAGTCCGTCTCTCCTCCAACCCCCGCCACCCAGGCCGCTCCGCGCTCCCACACGCCCCCTCCTCCCTCTTCCCGCCCCCCGTCAGCATACGAGCCTCCGGAATCCAATGCGGAACTCGTCGGCTATGTCCCGCAGCCGGCTCCACGGCTGATAGTACGTTACACGAGGCAGGAGTTGGCTCAGCTGCTGAGCTCCCAGTCCCATCAAGACTGGATTCGGGCCTTAGCTTCCATCAACATCCTGGTGGCCCCGGTCATTCTTGGCGGCCTCACCAACCAGGAACAACAGACCCTCTGGTCTACCAGGATGGAAGCACTCCGAGAAGTTCCGCCGCTGTTCTCTGCCATCAAGTCCGTCAGGACGCAAACCGGCCTCACATGGGACACCGCCATGTCGGTGAGGCGAGTCCTCACAAGCGATGGGAAGGTCACCATCGCCACAGGCGCGGGCGATGCCTACCGCGAGCTGGACGCGCCAACAAAAGTGCATGGCCTTATCCATGCCTGCTTTAACAAGATGTGGGACGAAAAGGCTTTTCAGCAACACTTCCCCTCGTGGGTCGAATTCAATATGATCGCCACCACCATAGTGGCAGTCTACAACGAGACTGCAAAATCAGCTGGACTCCCAGCTCGTGTCTTCCGGGTCAAACCCGACAAAAATGCCTACTCCATCATGAAGATGCGGATACAGCATGACAAAGGGAACGAAGAGGACAAGCGCATGGCCAAGCTGGCTGCTGCTGCAACTCACAAGCGCCCACAGATGCAGGAGGCTGACACAGAGGGCAAGCGGCAGCGCGATGGCCCCTCCTCATCCTCCTCGTCCCAGTGGGCCAGACAGGCACGCTCATCTCAGGACGACGACTGGGACTGGTGGCAGCAGTGGTCCTGGCACGGATACTCTCAGCAGTGGCCAAAAGGTCATGACCAGTGAGGGCGATAATATGTCACAGACTCTATGATCCCTTATGTCACAGACTCAGGGAATTCGGCACTCTTCCGACGCCTAGCACGTCTCTTCGGAAGAATGCGAATCGCGTGCTAGCCTCGCTTAAAACAGCACTTTGCGCTTCAGCAAATTGCCAGCATCGAAGCTGCCCAAAGACTCACGACACCGAAATTGCCTCAGGTACCAGCGGTCATCCGCACATGACCCTTACGGCCTTCTGTCTTCAACATGAGTAATCCGTGTGGGACGCCACGAGACGGATACTCCGGGTGGCGGCTTCATCTGAGGTACGGCCTATTTGTTGAGACAGGTGCACAGATGGACGCGTCTGTTCACGCCAAGGTGTCGGAGAAGGAAGCTTTTTGTAGCAGTAGCAGTTGAAGTAGTTTGTCAAGTTCGAGCTGATTAGAGAGACCTGAGCGATGCATGCTAGAAGCAGTTTCACGAGTGCATGAGACCAATGGCGCCCGCAAAGCGCAGAGCACGCTCGCGCAGCGTTCAATTGAAAAATAGTAGTAGTAGTAGTAGTAAGTAGTATAAGTAGTAGTAGTAGTAGTAGTAGTAGTAGTAGTAGTAGTAGTAGTAGTAGTAGTAGTAGTCGTAGTAGTCGTAGTAGTAGTAGTAGTAGCAGCAGGTGGTAGTGGTGGTGGTAGCAGCAGTAGCAGTAGCAGTAGCAGTAGCAGTAGCAGTAGTCGCAGTAGTCGCAGTAGTAGCAGTAGTAGTAAGTAGTAGTAAGGTAGTAGTAGTAGTAGTAGTAGTAGTAGCAGCAGGTGGTAGTGGTGGTGGTAGCACCAGTGGCAGTAGCAGTAGCAGTAGTCGCAGTAGTCGCAGTAGTCGCAGTAGTAGCAGTAGTAGTAAGTAGTAGTAAGGTAGTAGTAGTAGTAGTAGTAGTAGTAGTAGTAGTAGTAGTAGTAGTAGTAGTAGTAGTAGTAGGCGACAGCGTGCTCCTGTGACCCCCCTTTCGCCTCCTTTGTCGCATGCCTCTGACTGTGACCTCTTCCCCTCGCATGCGGCAGCCGCTTGGTTTCTGCGGCACGGCACTCTGCGCCCCGGCACACTGCTTTGTTGCCCGGCTTGGGTTTTGCTCTTAGACTGGTTTGGTTCGGCTTGGTTTCGTACGGCTTGGCTTGGGTTTTACTTTTACAGAGGGTCTTATTGTTGGATAGGGTCTTATATTCTTAGATAGGGTCTTGTTGTTAGATAGGGTCTTAGTGTTAGATAGGGTCTTATTGTGAGATGGGGTCTTGTTGTTAGATAGGGTCTTATTGTTAAATAGGGTCTTATGGTTAGATAGGGTTTCCCTCTGTCACAATGGTGAAAGGAGATCTTTTTTAAAATGGCTTGGCTTGGCTTGGCATATTGTTAGATAGGGTCTTATTGTTAGATAGGGTCTTATTGCTAGATAGGGTCTTATTGTTAGATAGGGTCCTATTGTTAGATTGTTAGATAGGGTCTTATTGTTAGATAGGGTCTTGCTGTTAGATAGGGTCTTGCTGTTAGATAGGGTCTTATTGTTAGATAGGGTTTTCCTCTGTCACAATGGTGAAAGGAGACCTTTTTTAAAATGGTTTGGCTTGGCTTGGCTTGGCAGATTGTTAGATAGGGTGTTAGTGTTAGATAGGGTCTTGTTGTTAGATAGGGTCTTATTGTTAGATAGGGTCTTATTGTTAGATAGGGTTTTCCTCTGTCACAATGGTGAAAGGAGATCTTTTCTAAAATGGTTTGGCTTGGTTTGGCTTGGCATATTCGTAGTCGCCCGCCTGCTCCTCTAAAGTAGTAGTCGTCGCCCGCCTGCTCCTCTAAAGTAGTAGTCGTTACCCGCCTGCTCCTCTAAAGACTCTAAAGTGGTAGTAGTCGCCTGCGTGCTCCTCTAAAGTAGAAGTACTTTTCCGCCCATTGAAGCTTTAGGGCCAGTTAAGGGGGTCACAGGAGCACGCTGTCGGCTAGTAGTAGTAGTAGTAGTAGTACTAGTAGTAGTAGTACTAGTAGTAGTAGTAGTAGTAGTAGTAGTAGTAGTAGTAGTAGTAGTAGTAGTAGTAGTAGTCGCAGTAGTAGCAGTAGTAGTAAGTAGTAGTAAGGTAGTAGTAGTAGTAGCAGTAGTAGTAGTAGTACTAGTAGTAGTAGTAGTAGTAGTAGTAGTAGTAGTAGTAGTAGGAGGAGGAGGAGGAGGAGGAGGAGGAGGAGGAGTAGTAGTAGTAGTACTAGTAGTAGTAGTAGTAGTAGTAGTAGTAGTAGTAGTAGTAGTAGTAGTAGTAGTAGTAGTAGTAGTAGTTTTAGTTTGTTCTTCGTGTTGTTTATGTCAGTTCCACTACAGCAGCTGTTGCAATCACGCTATTCTTCGGGTGCGACCAGAAGTAGTAGCATTAGCCCTCTTCTGAATGCCGCCACGACCACGACGCGCGACAACCACGAACGACAGCTCAGGACGGCAAGTTTTAAGCTAGTAAACAGGATCATGAACGATGCTTCAGCAAAGTGCAGGCTGCACCAGTGGCGAGAAAGTTCTCAGCCCCGCCAGCAGCACCAGTACCCCCAGCGCCTTGGCTTGGTTCGAATCTGTCGTGTCATGGCTACGACCAGCTCCGGCTCTCTTGACAGTGATACTGAAGGCGTCGCGCCCGACAAACTACGACAGTATGGACTTCTCAAAGCTATCGGCTCGGTGGATGTAGGAGCTATGAGTAGAGACTGGCTTGTGCACGCTGCCTTCGAATCTTTTGACTCGTCCCGTCGTGGTCGTGAGGTACAGCTCCAGTATTCACGAAAGTGATGGTCTGCAAGACGCACAGTTGGCCAGACGCAGTCAGAACCTGAGCTCGTGGAAAGCTTTTTCAAAGCAAGACAAGCAATCAAAAGGTCTGGCGTGGATGCAACGAGGTAGCATGGATGGACAGTGGATCCAGAGTCCGCGCCTGCGGCAATGCTTCAACAACATTCAGCTTGGTGCCAAGATGGGCCCGGAGCTTACGGGCAACACGTCCCCAAGTCACGTGTCGCAACTCTTCTCACTCTTCTCCTTGACTGCAGGCGCCTCGGTTGGCGGCTGCTTCGGCCTCCTTACAGGGGCTTGGGTGGCGATCACGCAGAGGAACCTCCTGGTGCCCGAGAAAGGGGGGTTAAAGGGAGGGGCTTCTGTGACGAGGGCGCAAAGCTTAGGTCAGCACATCTCCTGAGCAGGTGCTGCCAGTCTCCGTGATCGGAGGTGCTGTCAGCTTTGGATTCTTCCTCGGGTGCGGCATGATCATCAGGCCCTCTGCTGCCAAGTGTGACCGGCCAACGTGTCCAGAAATATCCACTGCTCACTGCTGCCTTGCGAGCATAACGACGCTGACTCGAAGTGTGGCGAAGTCTTCAATCCACACACTGCATGCCGCTAGGTGTGAGGAGCAGAAGGGTGGTGCGATGGTTCACTCCCAGCTGGTCTCCGTGGATGTGCATCGCCCAGCTACTGAGCGCAGTTCGAGCTTGCTCCCTGATCTCTAAATTCTGGCATCTACCGCCGCCTCGTTCTGTCCTGTCCTAGAGAGTCAAAGGGCCACCGTTGTTGTAGGGAGGAGCGTGGCGCGAGGCTCCCACCCGACCGAGACCGCTGCTTGGAGCGACCGGCGTGTTGGCCTCGGACTTGTGAAAGCACCAAAGGACACCAGATGGAGTCGTTGCGCCTTTCTTGCCTGGGATGGCTCTTTGCCCAGCTACACCTTGTTTTTGCCGTGTGCAGTTCCTTCTAATGCAGAGAACTGTTCGAAACATTGTTGTGCCACAGAGGAGCTTCTTTAAGTAGGAGGTTTTCGTTCCAAACATCGGGCTGTAAGTACTTGCAGTGCCGTCTTGTCTCTGGTAGTGTTTTGTGTCGCTGTCGCTTGGGAGCTCCTGACACGAGAGAAGTGAGGGTGCACTCATGTGCGCTCGGTCGGTTTGCCATGCTGGCAGTCACCATACGGCCCCCGATGCATGCACAAGCGTATATAATACAGATACACAGTCAGTATAATGTAGTACAATTTAACACAAATTAACATACCGTACTAGACTCTACTGCACTATAATATACTGTAATGTATAGTACGTGTTGAACGTGAAGAAATCAGGTCAGCTTCGCGCCCTTGGTCCAGGCACTACGCCACCGTGACGAGTGACGGGTGGCGGGTTTCAACACCGTAAAGGCAAGATATTTCAGGCGAGTGATAACAGGGCACACCGACGACTTCAACAAGCACATTACGAGCAGGTTGATTGCAAGCGTCTTGCTATCTGTGCAAAGCAGCAACTTGATTTCTAGCATCTGCGAAGAGTAGCCGTCGTTTGTAATTTCCTGCCGCCGTGTGACAGTGTGCGGAGCCTTGGCGGCAGCCTTTGAGAAAAGGCTCCCCCTGAAAGCCTGACTACCCGGGTCTCCCACCTTGCGGAGCTGTCAATCGCATCGCAACACATAGTACATCATAAAGTATGTTATAGTGTGTGATCGTACATTATAGCAAAATTAGTTTAGTAAATTATACTATATACGTTAATCCTTTTCATAGTATAACCGTTGTGGATCGAAGGCATCTTTCGCTCTCAGAGTGGGAGCCCCCTGAGTTCCAGGGGCGCCTATTGTTTAATCGTCGGGAAGGCCCGGGAAGGCCACGTAAGGCCGTGATCCTCATGACGATGGTGCAAAACGGATCCTGCGACTCTCTCAAGTGGTTCGGTGAAGTTCGAGCGAGACATGAAATCAGGGGCAGGAGATCAAGCTGACGCAAGACCTCATGCAGCTCTTCATCAAGTACCAGATTCCGAGTGACTTCCTCTCCTTCTCAGGCCCCATCTCTTGGCAAGGAGAAGCCCTAAGCCGCCCTAAGCCTGCATCACGAAGTGCCACCGCTCCCCGGACCTACATCGCCTCGGCTCAAGTTTCCGTAGACCTAGGAGGAAGGTGTTTAGGGGTCCCAAGAAGGGGGGGGGCGGCCATGGATGTGCTTCATGTGATCGAGAGCATCTTCAATAAGGCGGACTACGCCATCATCGGGCTCTTGGCAGCACTGGTCGTCGCCGTCGTCTTCACACCGATGTTCAGGACTGTGGACAGCCTTCCTGGACGATGTGCCACACTGGGAGTCTCCCTGTACTTCTACGTTAGATGGCAGGTAGACGTTTCGAGGATCCCCATGAAGACGGACCACCCTTCAGACGCTGACAAGATCGAGTTCTTCCGCATGACGCGGAACGTGTACATGCTCTTCTCGGGCATTGTTCTATCCCTTTTTAGCTTCACCGTCGCGCGGCTTCGAGGCCGGATTGAGGAGCTCGAAGGTGCTGGAGAAGCGAAGCCTCACGGCGACTGAGTGAACAGCTGAGGACCTTTGACGCCGTGTTGAAGCACGTTTCCTGCGAGCCACTATCCGCAAGCAAGCCTTCCCAGGAATCCGAACACCTCGTAAGCCAGACAAGCTGTACCATTGTGACTTTGGCGCTTTCGATGTTGTTTGCTGGCATAGAGACCTCAGCCCCGCGCCACTCCAAAAGTTGGTGCCGGAGTGGAAGCTGCACATCGAGTGACAGGCCGGACAGAATCCTGCAAGATGCCGCAAGCAGTCTTGGAAGCCTTGGCTCAAGAAAGGATAATTACAGCCCACAGTAGCTTGATCTGACTTCAGACTTGAATTTCCACACCTCTGCAGCTAGTGAAGTAGACCCAGCATGACCCAGCCACGGAGGCTCTCCCCAACAATCCTAGTTTGGGGTGGAGGGTTTTTCGATCGCACACGTCCAATAGACAGATCCAATCTGGAACCATGGTCAGCGCAGGGGCGAAGAAGCGCGGGACTCAGCTCGGTGCGAGGACTCCAAAGAGGTGAACTGCGAGATAGGTGCTTGAGGTGGGTCGCCCACACCCTAATTTTGAAGCGCAAACTCTGAAACTACGACAAACCCGGAGCCATCGCTCTGACGCTGTAACTCACACGGAAGCGTGGCTCACAGGGTTCTGTGCTTCCGTTTCAGGGGCATGTGCCGTGAACTGCGGGAGGCCAGTTTGGGGAACAAAAGATGGGGAAGACTCGAGGAGTTGTGCCGGTGCGAGTCGAGTTGAGCTCCAACCTTCCCCGAAAAAAGCGACCGGAAGAATCTGCACCTTTCGAGAATGCTTGTGAGCATAACTGAGCATAGCCGAGAAGAATGCGTTGTATAGGGATCGGCACCTGCTCCTGTCTCTCAGTTCAATGGCGCTGCCTACTTTCTGACATGAAAGGTTCTCTCTGCATATGCTGCCTTGTTAAGGACCTGCTACTACGAGCTGTTAGGCCATGGGGCTTGGTGGAATGCTGGCATCTGCAAACTCAATGTCGGCACTTATCGCTGAGTTTAGAGTGGTAAGATTGAGGTTCGAGTGACTTTCGCAAGTGTTTAGCATGGCACCGCCAGAGATATCAGAAGGTGGCTTCTCTTTGCTGCAAATGTTGGCAGGCTTGGATCGGAAATGCGAAGCTGCGGAGATCAAAGCCACCTACCGCAAGCAGGGAAGCCCAGCCATTCCAGCGTCGCAGGAATACAGCAATGCTCCGTGACAGCTGCGCACGCCCGAGGCTTGCGTTGCGCATGCACCCGGACAAGGCGCACCAAAATGGAATGTGCCCGGGGCCCCATAGAGAAGATCTTCCACGCGAACTACGACGAAGGGCGGCTTCGTCGACAGGGTGTTGTTGCTGAGTCTCTGTCTAGAAAAACTTCGACCCCCAGAATGCCAAACCCGCCGAACTGTCTAGCCCTGTATTCACTGTCCCCCGCAAGTGAATGCCAGCGCTCCAGGCCCAGAAGAAGCGACGAAGCGCTTCCAGCAGATTCAGGAAGCCTATTCCGTGCCCTGGATCATGTTTATTGCTCTATGCTACTAATTACAAAGTAAGTGGAGGATCTAGTCTCAACTTCCCGCTCCTCGTTTCAGGTGCTTTCCGATGCGCAGGACCTTTACCAGAAGCAAACCGCACCATGCTGCGCTGCCATGTATCCCCTCCTACCGCTACAGGAGAGAGCCTGGTACGATGCCCATAGAGAGCAAATTCTCAGAGGCGATGATGGGCCCGGTGAGGACGCACCACCTTTATTCAGTGGTGAAAAAGGCAAGATTGTATCACATCCTCCGCAGGACCCTTTCAAGACCAAGATCAACTTGTACAAATATTTCAGCAGAAGCCTTGTGCATGTAGCAGGGCTTTGGTAGCCTCAAGTGGCACCTGACGACAAGGCGTGTCCTGCTTCGACGGCTTCGGCAATGACTCTCGCGGTTTTTTCGCAGTCTATTCCGAACTGTTCGAGGCAGGGCACTTCGGCATGGCGAGGGAATTTCGACCGAAACCAGCGTGACGTCGCGGATGCTTCGCGTGACCGTGCGATCTTACGAAGGCCATCGATGCTGAAGAAGAGCAGTGGGAGGTCAGGTCTTGCCGAGCCACATGGTCAGATTTCGAACATAAGAGCATAAGAGAGTCGGATTGAGGATGCCGATGAAGATCACTTGGCCATGCCTCCCTTTGGGCGCGCGGACAGCGAGTGGGCCGACGTGTCGGCCTTCTACAGGCCCAGACAGACTGAGCAACGGTCGTTGTACTCAGAAGGGGAGGAAAGTTGCATGCAGTCTGTCGGGCTCTTCGCCGTGGTCTCGTAATCAACGTGACGTCGGTGGGGGTTTTGAATTTTTCGGGTGGTGTTGGGGTCGGTTGCTTTACTGTTACAGGCCTATGCTGGCATACTCAGTGACATCATTGTTTTTGAGACTGTTCTGCTGTTGTCGCCACTATCGCGACTCATTATTCCTTCTCATCGAATCCAACATTTCTCAACCACTCTCACGTACTTGTGGTTCTCTTGATGCGTGTTAGGCACTGGCTGGACTTCTGCTCACGGAAGGCCGGGGGGCGGTTTGGAAGACCTAGGAGGGGCTCTGGGCGGCGGAGAATTTCTCGCTGTGGAATTGGGCCATGCCTTCAGTCTCCTTAACGGTCTTTCGGCCCCGTGCCAGCGAGGCCTTCGGCCATGCAGACCAGCTGAAGGCTAAGAAAAGAAGGGCTCGGGCTCGTTTGCCTGGCTTCCAGGATGTGACAGCTTGTGCCGCCTCTGGCTGAGGTGGAACCCGAAGGACGCCTCAAACCGGCAAGTCCGCAGGGCAATGGAACAGGCCAGTCTCCTCTGACCCTCATATCCGATGTGGTTATACGTGGTCTTCGTCGCCGTCAATCCTTCACAGGAGAACAAAAAAGCACGGCAGGCGGGGACTTGCGGCAACTTGTGCTCCGCTTGTCCATCAGCTACGTTCAGCTATTGAGAAGGCTGCAAAGAAGGAGTTCAATGCAGAGGTCCGACAGCTTGTGAAGCCTCCTTCTCAGAACTTTGAATCATGTATAGGCCTACCCAACCATGGTTTCAAGTAGCCAACGCGTGTCAGGTTCGTGCAAAAACGAGATCCCAGATATCAAGCCCATCAAAAGCAGCAGATGAAGGACTGGGGCCAACCCGGCAGCACAGCAGACCAGTTCGTGCAAGCACTCTGCCACTGGAAGGAGAACATCGAGAAGAACCAGCGTGACAGAGCGGAAAAAGACAGGAGAAAAGCTGACGAGGAATCGTTTGGGATGGGTCCATTATACTATCATTATAATAAGGAACCCCAGAATAGTCTCTAGGGAGTAGTACAGCTCAACCACGGAAGAAGATCGCATTCGTGCTCGAATTGTTTCCCGCCTGTGGTGATGCCCGGAGGCCAAGGAGAAGGAAGAGCGCAAGGCGGCTGCAAGACAGGCTGAAGAGGCACGAGACATTCAGAAGGCAATAGTTGACGGTGGGTCCTAGGATCATAATCGCAACCTCGAGAGAAGAATGATGATAATAGTGCATACGTATACGAAATCACCGACTAGCGGCATTAGTGCTCTGAGTTAGAGATGGTGCGAATGCGTATAGTCACAGTGACATGATGGTGGCGAAGACGACGACGATGGTGAAAGTGATGACGACTGGTGATGATGCCCTGGCTGCTGCTGCTGCTTCCGCTGCCGCTGCCGCTCCTGCTGCTGCTTCTTCTACTACTACTACAGTGGTACTACAACCAGCATCGTATCTTGCCAACAAGCTACTTCAGAACGAGGCAAGGAAAGTGCTGCTGCAGTCTTTTCTAGAAGGACCAACTACAACTCTTGCAGGAGCGCTGGGCGGAAGCCAGAGCAAGAAAGGAGGCGCTTCATTCCAGCCGGTCCAAGTAATTACAACAAAGCTTCGCTCGTATCGCACAAGGCAGCTGGCTTTGATCGGTGCTGCACCGAATTTTGCCTTCAGGAGCAAAGAGCACGTGGCGAGGTGGTTAGCGAGGACCGGGCATTTCGGAACAGAGCACTCTGGGAAGCATGCAGAGCAGGTGCAGCCGCTTGAGCCATGGAAGTCCAAGCGACCCGTTTACGAGTTTCTCACAGAGTGCAGGACGAAGAAGACGGCAGCGAGGACTGCAGAGTTTCCAATTGTCGAACGAAAGCCAGGGATTTCGTCATAATACTGCTTGTGTGCCACCGAGGAGGAGCTAGCCCGGTACTGACAGCTCTGCAGCGTGGTGCCGACAGCAGGCAATGCAGATCACAGACTTTCGCAGCGAGGTCGAATACTACTGCGAGATTTGCAAGAAAAGCTTCAAGTCGGAGAAGGCACGGCTTGTCACACCTGGGCCTCTCTGTGACAACATGCCATGGAGGCTTTCGAGCAGCATCTCAAGAGCAAGAAGCATCTGCAGGCCCACTTGACTGCAAGGGTCCAGCAATCCTTGGTTCAGGTTGCACGACCATTTTCTGAGCTTTGGAGGCTGTTGCGAAGCTCCAGAAAGAACTGGATCGGGAGATGAAGGTGCAACGCTTACTGTATGCTTGAAGGGGCTTGTAGCAACCGGTGCTGTCATTCCGACCAGGAGGAGGCAAGAGCCTCGAAGAAGTCTGAGAAGGAGGAAGAGTCCGAGGAAGAAGGATCTGAAGAAGAACAAGCTGAAGGCGCCGATCGTGTGTATGCAACAATTGCCACATTGCCACCAAAGTACACGTCAGGAAAGATCCAGGAGGCGGTTTCACAAGAGCCAGAACCAACAAAGCCCAGCAAGCCCGTCCACGAGACGGCCGATTCCGAGACCAGAGAGGACGGGTTGGTGAACTGGCACCGGAATGCTCCCGAGAGGTGTTCGCACATCAGGTCGCTTGAGTGTTCGCGAAGGTTTCCACCCCCCTTGGAACGTGAAGTAGGCCCAAGTAATCCAATTGGAGCCACGGTGTTGTGCAACTTCCGAAGGCAAAGTTTATACTGATGTGGCCGCATCGGC